CTGGCTCTGCAGGCCGGGTCTCACCTGTAGAGGGTCAGGTTGTCCAGCTGGTTGTCCATGTTGATGGGGTAAAGCTCGCCCAGGTGCACCAGCTTCTCCAGCGCCTCGTAGATGAAGATGATGCAGATGAGGGCGGCGAAGGCCTCCTCGGTGAAGCGGGTGATGTAGCAGACCAGAGAGCTGGCGTCCGTGGCGACCAGCAGCAGACAGAGGAAGGCGGTCCAGAGTCCGATGCTGGTCCTCAGGGACAGGTAGGACAGATTGTAGTCGCTGAGGACGGGGGACAAGACGAGTCGTGAAATCATTTGAAGGATGACACTTTTGTTTTCAGACACATTCAGACATTCACCAGTTCACACCAGTTCAGGAGTGCATGTGTGGAGAAGACTAACCAGACCAAAAAGGAGGGGAGGAGTGTGGGCGGGGCTACCTGGGATTGACCGGTCGCTAAAACGGCGTCCCTAAAGACACTCTGAGGGGTTGCTTTGTTATTTTTCTGACTGTTTTTGCAAACTTACATCTCTTACATCCAGCAAGTATTTTTACATTCAGTTGACAAGCCTGAATAAATGTTGTATTTCATTTTTTTAAACCAGTAAGAATGTTAAGTTAAATCCTTGATGTATAAATCTCTTCCTCTTATTTTTTATATTTTAAGTGCTTATTTATGTATCTATTCTTATACTGTTTTATTTACTTTGATAACCTGCTGCTGTAACACCACAACTTACCAGTTTGGGATCAATAAAGTTATAGATAAGATATGAGGAGCTGACCTCAGAGTCAACCAATCAGAGAGCAGAATGATCAGACACTGACCTGATCAATAAGTCCACCAATCAGTAACTACAGTCAGAGAACATTACAGGATCCAAGGTCAGGCGTAAGCTTCATGTATCCCAAAGGGGAAGGAGACATTGAGATGACTTTAAACATCCTGGAATCTAAACTTCACAGTCCTGTTGGATGTTTCATTTCATCTCTTGACTTGTTTCTCACTCTCTTTGTCCTGCATGCTGGCAGGCTGAAACTGAAAGTGAGCCTTCTTCAGACACTTTACTTTATAGAAATGAGAAAGGTCAGAGAGGGACGGTCCTGTGACTCTGACATACAATTTAACAATTCTGCAGCCAGCCTCTAGTGGACACTCCAGGAACTGCAGTACTTCTGCCTCGTGGTCGACTGGTTTTAGAGTTCAGCTGCTCCCCACCGCTCAAATGATTTGCTGGCACGTTTGATATTTTGGTCGTACGACTGCACACACTGACACAGTGAGAGAGCAGAGCCACGAGACCATTCCCCAACTTTGCTGACAGACAGCATCCAAAATCACCATGGCAACAGCAGGATTCCATCCTGATTTGACTCGTGCAGAGTGAGCTCATCTCTTAAATCTTGATCTTTGTTTGTGTGTTTTTCTCAGCGTGTGTCTGAGTAACTTAAGATGGCTTTTGCTCAATCAAAGAAGCCAAAGTAGAGTTTGACTCTTGTGACCTTTGACCTGGTAGCTATCAGGTCTAATGTTCAATGCAAACACTGACTCAGGACAGACCGTTGGACTCGCGGTCCACACGCCGTCTCTATAAAGAGCGGCGCCTCAGTCCTCCTCGCTCTGTCTCTCATCATCATGTCTCGCTTACTCCCCGTCCTGCTGGCGCTCGCCTGCCTGGCCCGGCTCGGCGCCGCTCAGCCCGTCAACATGCAGGCCGAGCTGAAGAAGATGCAGGTCGCCATGGAGGAGATGAAGGCCGAGAGACGAGGTGAGAGAGAACTCTTAAAACTCTTATACTCTTATATTTGAGATTGTTTTTTTGTTGTTTTTTTTTAATTCACTATGAGCATCAAAGGAGGATGTTTGTCCTCTGACTTTGCAATAGGGTGCAATGAAATGAAATGTTGTCTTTCCTTCATTGGGAACAATTGAAAAAGGACCCTTGGCGCTCAGATAAAAACGCCAGGTGGACACAGGGGGGCTTGGACTTCTTAAATTGAACTCTTATTTTAGTGTTTCTGGAAAGGTTCCATTATTGTTTGTGTGACTAATAACTGCATTAAATTAAATTAACCGTGTCAGTTTATTTTTTTAATTCCTGCAGAGCTGATTGGCCGTCTGGAGGCGTCTGAGAGAGAACTGAGGGAGGTCAAAGGTGAGAAACATCAAAGATGGAGCTTAAGACAAACATATAAATAAAAAAGGATCTGTTGGATACATTCATCTCAAGCTTTATATTTCATGTTTTACTCCAGATTTTAAACGACTCTGAGGAGATGTTTTCTAAACTGACTTTATTCAACGTTTCATTCTCACACAGAAACACCCAAAGTGGCCTTCGCCGCCTCGCTGGGAGGAAACGGCCTGGTGAAGACGACAACGGGAAACAAAGATCTCATCTACAGGGATGTCCTGACCAACGTGGGCGGAGCTTACAACTCTGAGACAGGTGAGATATGAGAGCAGTGTGTGTCACTATAACGGTTTGGCGTCGTGGAGACAGTAGAGATCGCCAAAAGTGCACAACGACACAGGTCGACAGCGCTCGTCGTTTATCACAAACTGCACATCGACCTTACGAAGCCCGGGTGTACGGCGTCTGTTTTATCAGACATGTGCAACATGGCGTCCACACAAAACCCTCACGTGAGAGGAGAGCTGCGTATCGATTCGATATTACACATTGATGAGAGAAATACTGAGATAACTCATCACAGACATTCTGATATTTGTTAAATAATCATGTGTTTGTATTTGTTTAAATCAAACTGACTGAAAAATGTATTTTATCGATGCATTATTCTTTAATAAACAAAGAATAAAACATGAAATACAGTATGATCAAAAGTGCAAAATTGTGCCTGACCTGAATTCTAAGCACCCACAGTGCCCCCTAGTGGAGAGAGGCGTAATTACAACAAAAATTCACACTGCCTACAGTGCCCCCTAGTGGAGAGAGGCGTCATTACAACAAAAATTCACACTACCCACAGTGCCCCCTAGTGGAGAGAGGCATCATTACAACAAAAATCACACTGTCTACAGTGCCCCCTAGTGGAGAGAGGCGTCATTACAACAAAAATTCACACTACCCACAGTGCCCCCTAGTGGAGAGAGGCATCATTACAACAAAAAATCACACTGTCTACAGTGCCCCCTAGTGGAGAGAGGCGTCATTACAACAAAAATTCACACTACCCACAGTGCCCCCTAGTGGAGAGAGGCATCATTACAACAAAAATTCACACTACCCACAGTGCCCCCTAGTGGAGAGAGGCGTCATTACAACTCAGGATTTCCCTGAATCGATATTGAATTGGGAAAATAATAACTGTAATGCATTGATGAATGGATTTCTTTAACCAGCCCTAGCTAAGAGGCAAAAGGAAAACAGGAACTCGGTTACAGACATTCATGGCTAATGTCAATCATTCGCAAAGGATTGTGGGATGGGTAGTTCCATTACGTTCAATGGCGTTTTGGCACTGAATCAAATTATTGGGGTAGCTGGTTGTCTTGGTTACAGGCTTCCATCTCTTGATATAAGGACGACGGAGGATTTGGGAAATTTACTTTCATTCAACCTTAGTTTGGTTTCCGGCCATATATTTGCGCTAATTTTGTTGTGCAGTTCAAACTTCAGTTTTAATTTGAAAATCTTGCCAAATTCTTGTCATTTCCTCCAGGTGTGTTCACAGCACCGATTCGTGGAGTCTACTACATCCGCTTCACAGCCAATGGACCCACCGACTTCCCCAGGAGCGCCGTGCTTTACAAAAACAACGTACAGATCCAGCTGATCGCCCACGAGCAGGAGTCCGGCACGGGAAGCGACACGGCGTCCAACGGCGCCACCTTGCTGCTGGAGAAGGGCGACACGTTGAAGATGGTGCTGTGGCACAACACGCAGATCTGGGACAACAGCAACCACCACAGCACCTTCAGCGGCTTCCTGCTGTTCCCCCTGTGAGCACCATGATCAAAACCTTTTGCAAACGAGTCAAAAAAGTAAACCATGTGATACGCGAAAGACACACGAAGGGTTAAATCGACCACTCACTGCGCCGCGGACGCTCCGGTGCACTTTGCGTTTGTTCAAATGAAAATATGGTCCTCTCTTTAAATGCCAATCAGCCGCATTGCAAAAAGCATCTAACTCACAAACACAGCACTAACAGAGTGAAATAATTTGACCTTCTGCGGCGAGTTGGCGGTAAATGCGACGCAGGATTTATACAACTTCCTGTAGCTGCTACCTTGAATTATCCGTTCTCGCTCCATTCAGGAAGGAAGCTTTGTTAGAATCAAACATACAACAACACAACATCTATAACAGATATAACGTCTCTGTAAACTTCTTCCTGTGTGTTAAAGGGTGGACGAAGCTCCGACAGAGTTTAACGTTGAAACCGAGATGAAGACTCTTCAGGCTTCGATGGCACAGATTCAGACAGAAAACCGAGGTAAGACGAACGAGAGCGGGGGAATGGGGAGGGGGGACAATCGCGCTTCAGAAGCATCTTTGCCAAGTGTGAGTGAGACCTTAAACTAAGGGATTTAGGTTAAAAGACTATCTGAGTGCTTCACATAACTCTGGATCGCTTTGAATCTTAATTTGATGGTCTGGTCTGATCAGCTGAATGAGATAAAGGAATTCATTGAAATGTTGATGGTTTTGTGTTTCCAGGTTTCAAAGACAGACTCACGTTCACAGCCAACGAGTTGAAGGCCATGAGAGGTCAGTCATTCCGTTCTCTCAGCACAACTTTTCAAAATCAGAGTTATGATGCTTTCACACCTGCACAAAAATCAGGTTATAACGCTCTACACTTAAAGGTGACATATCCTCCTCCTCCTCTTCAGTGTAAATAAGTCTCAGAGCTCCTCAAAACATGTGCGTGAAGTTTCTTGTTCTAAATCCACTCTGATCCTGTATTTGATCATGTCTATAAACCCCTCTATTTCAGTCCTGCTCAGAACAGGCTGTTTCTGTGTCTGTACCTTTAAATATGTAAATGAGCTGTGTCTGACCACGCCCCCTCTCTGGAAGGACTTAGGTGTACTTGGTCTTTCTCGCTCCATGTCCTATTGTTTACGGTGAGAAGGCAGACTCAAGAGGGCAGAACAAACACCTAGCTGTGGGAGTGTCACCCACCTGGGGGAGGGGCTACTGCCCTTTGTGATGTCATAAAGGGAAAATCTCCAAACGGCCTGTTTGAGCACTCATTTTCTGAAAAGTGGAGCAGGCAGAAGACGGAGAGGATGGACTTTTCTCATCATTGGGGGGTTTGTAGACGGACTAGAGACACATGTTAGAGTTAGAGGAACATGGAGAAGTGGATTATACAGAATATGTGACCTCACATTTTTTTTACTGTAACATCCCTAAAAAGAATCGCCTTCTTCAGATCTTCTTGTGAGCTGCCGAAGTTGTAAACTAACTCAAGTGACTGACGGTCATTATTTGAATGTCTGTTTTTCTCCAGATGTACCGAAGGTGGCGTTTGCTGTTTCTCTGGGAGGAAACGGTCTGCAGAAGACAACCTCCGGAAACCAAAAACTCATCTTCAAAGACGTGCTCACCAACATCGGACAGGCGTACAACTCTGAGACGGGTCAGTGACATCGAACACACACACACACACACACACACACACACACACACACACACACACACACACACACACACACACACACACACACACACACACACACACACACACACACACACACACACACACAACACACACACACACACACACACACACACACACACACACACACACACACACACACACACACACACACACACACACACACACACACACACACACACACACACACACACACACACACACACACACACACACACACACACACACACACACACACACACACACACACACACACACACACACACGTAACCATCTGTTAAACCCCACCTCCTCCAGGTGTGTTCACCGCGCCTACCCGTGGAGTGTACTACGTCCGCTTCACAGCCAACGCCCCCACCAACTTCCCCATGAGCGCCGTTCTCTACAAAAACAACGACGAGGTCCAGCTGATCGCCCACGAGGCGGAGTCCGGCGAGGGCAGCGACACGGCTTCCAATGGCGCCGCCCTGCTGCTGGAGCAAGGTGACACGCTCGCCCTGCAGCTGTGGCACAACACGCAGATCTGGGACAACAGCAACCACCACAGCACCTTCAGCGGATTCCTGCTGTTTCCCATGGCAACCGAAGGGATTTAAAACAGCGAGTCAACGGAGACTGACCGACGTTGAAAAAAAGAGTTTGGACTTTAAAAATCAGCTCGACACATTTTTACACTTTGATGCTCAGTCAACGTGTTTGATGACCACTGAGAGGTCACATTAAAAGATTCTCTCGCTCATTAAGTCTCCTTTTTTTTAGCGTCACAACTTCAAAACACATTTCAATAAAGTCGTGACGCTTGAAAGTTCTCATTAAAAAGTAAACTAGTGTTCAATCATCCAGACAAGATGCGTCCAGGTGCAGAACTAGAAATGTTCTCTGCATAAAAAAGGGAAAAAGGGTCTGCCCATTGTTCATGAGCAGTTTTATTTATGTGTAGATCTACAAGATCTTCACTTTCCATCCTCCTGCCCTCTGAACTGTAGATTTAAGAATAAACTCTTTAAGATCGTGTTGGTAGCGTTTAAATAATGGGTAAACCATAAAAACCTCGGTCTCGATTAGGGATGTAACAATTCACTCAACTCACGATACGATTCACGATATGATTCTTTCACGATTTATTTTACAAAATGATGAGTGAAAAAGATTCCTTTAGGGGCTGCTAACCAACTCGTCAGGGTGGTTTGGCCTGCATCATGTTGGTTGTGTTATGTGTGTAGTTCTCTGTCTTTGCACACAGTTTTTATCTGCTCTCCTCTTTCATTTTCTGTCTTGAAACCAAAATGTTTCCTCACGGTGCCTCCTCATTTTCTAAATCTTCCCCTGCAGCTGCTGACTCTCAGCTCTCAGAGATTCATTTCACTAATGCACCGGCATACCTTCACGGATGCTGACCTCTGATCGATGAATGGTTCAAAGGATGATTTTTAGAGTTTTCTATGTCAGGATGATACAAAGAAAAGCTTCAGACACTCACAGACGAGAATCTGAACCGAAAATCTGATTTAAAAAGATGTCAAATAAAACGTGTTACATCATGACAGGTGTTTTCCTGATCTCTGTGCCGTTTGTCTCCGCACGTTACAGGAGGAAAAACCCCCGATGTTGACGTGTCTTTGACGTATTTTCGGGGAAATATTAGAGATAATAAAAGTAGAACAAAACGGAGTCTGACATAATCTACAAGAAAAATGGAGCAGGTTGAATAACACAGATTTTATGTAACTGTTAAAACCTCACAAAAAGCTTTGTTTTAATCCCGAACAATGGAAACCTCTCGCAGCTCTGAGGTAACACAAACACAAATCTGTCCTCAGCCAATCAGAGAGCTGATCCTCAAACCCAGGAACGGAAATAATCGGAGATAATCTGAGCTGCTCCAAAAAGCTCGACGCAGCCTCGCTGGTCCTGTTCCGCTCTTAACTCCATTTTTTATCTGACAAAGAGTCTGAGTCTGGAGCGTCCACCAGGGGGCGCCACAGCACAGTGACGACACAGCTGTACTGCATCTGCAGACCTGAGGGTGGTGAAGGAGGCGGAGCCTGACTCACCTGCAGAACGTGAAGAGGATCTTCTCAAAGACCAGAACCGGACCCGTGCTGCCGAGGATGGTGAGAGGCTGACCAGCAAATACAGAGTACGCCACGCCGGTCAGAGACGCCCCGAACAGAGACTCTATGGCACTCTGAGAGAGAGAGAGAAAGAGAGAGCAGGGGGAGAGAGAGGGAGAGAGAGAGAGAGAGAGCAGGGAGAGAGAGAGAGAGAGAGCAGGGGGAGAGAGGGGGAGAGAGAGGGAGGGAGAGAGAGAGAGCAGGGAGAGAGAGAGAGAGAGAGAGAGCAGGGGGGGAGAGAGAGAGAGAGAGAGCAGGAGAGAGAGAGAGAGAGCGGGAGAGAGCGGGAGAGAGAGAGAGAGAGAGCAGGGGAGAGAGAGGGAGGGAGAGAGAGAGAGAGAGAGCAGGGGGAGAGAGAGGGAGGGAGAGAGAGAGAGACAGAGAGAGAGCAGGAGAGAGAGAGAGAGAGCGGGAGAGAGAGGGGAGAGAGAGAGAGAGAGAGCAGGGGGAGAGAGAGGGAGGGAGAGAGAGAGAGAGAGAGCAGGGGGAGAGAGAGCAGGGAGAGAGAGAGAGAGAGAGAGAGCAGGGAGAGAGAGAGAGAGCAGGAAGAGAGAGAGCAGGAAGAGAGAGAGAGAGAGAGACAGAGAGCGGGGGGAGAGAGAGGGAGAGAGAGAGAGAGCAGGGAGAGAGAGAGAGAGAGAGAGAGAGACAGTGAGAGAGAGAGAGAGAGAGAGAGAGAGCAGGGGGAGAGAGAGGGAGAGAGAGAGAGAGCAGGGGAGAGAGAGGGAGAGAGAGAGAGAGAGAGAGCGAGAGAGAGGGAGAGAGAGAGAGAGCAGGGGGAGAGAGAGGGAGAGAGAGAGAGCAGGGGAGAGAGAGAGAGAGAGAGAGAGAGAGCAGGGAGAGAGAGAGAGAGAGAGAGAGCAGGGGGAGAGAGAGAGAGCGAGAGCAGGGAGAGAGAGAGAGAGAGAGAGCGAGAGAGCAGGGGAGAGTGAGGGAGAGAGAGAGAGCAGGGGGAGAGAGAGGAGAGAGAGAGAGAGAGCAGGGGGAGAGAGAGAGAGAGCAGGGAGAGAGAGAGAGAGAGAGAGCAGGGGGAGAGAGAGGGAGAGAGAGAGAGCGAGAGCAGGGGAGAGAGAGGGAGAGAGAGAGAGAGAGCAGGGAGAGAGAGAGAGAGAGAGAGAGAGCAGGGGGAGAGAGAGGGAGAGAGAGAGAGAGAGCAGGGAGAGAGAGAGAGAGAGCAGGGAGAGAGAGAGAGAGAGAGAGGGAGCGAGAGAGAGAGCAGGGAGAGAAAGAGAGCAGGGGGAGGAGAGGAGAGAGAGAGAGAGAGAGCAGGGGGAGAGAGAGAGAGAGAGAGAGAGAGAGCAGGGGAGAGAGAGGGAGGGAGAGAGAGCAGGGGAGAGAGGAGAGAGAGAGAGAGAGAGCGGGGGAGAGAGAGAGAGCAGGAGAGAGAGAGAGAGAGAGAGAGCGCAGGGGAGAGAGAGGGAGAGAGAGAGAGAGCAGGGGGAGAGAGAGGAGAGAGAGAAAGAGCGAGAGCAGGGGGAGAGAGAGGGAGAGAGAGAGAGAGAGAGCAGGGAGAGAGAGAGAGAGAGCGAGAGAGCGAGAGAGAGAGAGAGCAGGGGGAGAGAGAGGGAGAGAGAGAGAGAGAGAGAGGAGAGAGAGAGAGCAGGGGGAGAGAGAGAGAGAGAGGGAGAGAGAGAGAGCAGGGGGAGAGAGAGAGAGCAGGGGGAGAGAGAGGAGAGAGAGAGAGAGAGAGCAGGGGGAGAGAGAGAGAGCAAGGGGAGAGAGAGAGAGAGAGAGAGAGAGAGAGAGAGAGAGAGAGAGAGAGAGAGAGCAGGGGGAGAGAGAGAGCAAGGGGAGAGAGAGAGAGAGCAGGGGGAGAGAGAGAGCAAGGGGAGAGAGAGAGAGATGGAGAGAGAGGAGATTTTTACAGCGCTGCCAGTGACAGTAACAGTTCCTGAATGTTGTACTGTCCCTTTAAGAGGAAACCTGTTCCTGGTGGTATCATCCGGTCTCTCTGGTTCTTACTATGTTTCCTTTGGTAGCTTCGCCCAACAGACCTCCGAACGTGATGACGGGCGACATGCAGGCGCAGTACAGGAAGAGGACGGACGCCAAACACTGCAGGCTGAACGCGTCTTTGATGTCGCTCCAAAAGAACGGCGCTTTCCTCCGAACGTCGTTCACCAAACCGCCAAAGATCCTGACAGAGAAACGGAGGTCATATTTCACTCCAGAGGAAGTTACTTTCCTCAGTCTCAATCATTTGATGCAGATAAAAACAATATTTGAAAAAACATGACTTACCTTCCTGTTCTCTGCAGCTCTGGTCCCGTTTGATGCTCCGCCTCCTTTATTGTGTCACAGCCGTGGGTGGAGCCATTGGGGGCAGACGCCATCTTCCTCTTCTCCTGCTCAGAGAGACAGAGAGGGTTAGAGACACAGAGGAAAGATCTCAGGTCTGAGAGAACATGGATTTATTTCATGTCAAAGATCCTCTATCTGACAGGATGCACATCAGAGATCTACTCCGTCTGACAGGATGCACATCAGAGATCTACTCCGTCTGACAGGAGGCACATCAGAGATCTACTCCGTCTGACAGGATGCACATCAGAGATCTACTCCGTCTGACAGGAGGCACATCAGAGATCTACTCCGTCTGACAGGAGGCACATCAGAGATCTACTCCGTCTGACAGGAGGCACATCAGAGATCTACTCCGTCTGACAGGATGCACAACAGAGATCTACTCCGTCTGACAGGAGGCACATCAGAGATCTACTCCGTCTGACAGGATGCACATCAGAGATCTACTCCGTCTGACAGGATGCACAACAGAGATCTACTCCGTCTGACAGGATGCACAACAGAGATCTACTCCGTCTGACAGGATGCACATCAGAGATCTACTCCGTCTGACAGGAGGCACATCAGAGATCTACTCCGTCTGACAGGAGGCACATCAGAGATCTACTCCGTCTGACAGGATGCACATCAGAGATCTACTCCGTCTGACAGGATGCACAACAGAGATCTACTCCGTCTGACAGGATGCAGGTCTCATGGTAAACTCACCTGAGACGGGACGCTCTTTGGGGGTTCGATGCGGATGGTGGGGTCCCACTCGCCTGGAGGAAGCACGGTGACCTGATCCAGGAACTCATCGATCCCTGACAGCAGGTCGTTCCGGTCCTTTGCCTTGTAGGCGACATCGTGGAAAATCTACCAGAGAGAGAAAGAGAGAGAGTGAGTGATGGAGTCCATTAACAGAATAATCAACACACCTTTAACTCCAAACTCTAAACCTGGAGCTTTGATTTTAAGTTCTCACCTCGTCGGTCATCAGAGTGGCCATGGAGCGTCCGATCTCGTGGTACTGAGGACCTTTTCCAAACGGGCCGAGCAGCAGGAAGAGAAACCTGAACGCACGAGAAGACAGAGAGTCACTGATTAATCATCAGCAGCGTCATGTAGAGAAGAAAGTTTCACCAGATATTAAAGGAAGAGCAAAAAAAAGAGCTCTGATTGAGAACAGCGTGTGTGTGTGTGTGTGGGGTTCACCTGGTGGGCACGGGGACCTCGGTGAGGCCGGTCAGCAGCATGGCGGGGGCGAGACGAACGAAGGCGATGATCGGTCGATCCAGGAAGTCGACTTCACCCACCAGCACGTTAGAGGCCTCTGCACCCTGAGGAATCTTCTTCATGAAGTTCATGTCCACCTGAGACACACACACACACACACACACTCCTTTTTAATAAAACAGCTCAGGTGAGTCACTTTGGTTTCAGGTAACCACACCGTCGTGCACCTGTTGATTTCACACAGAATTTTTTTATTTTGTTCAAACTGAGACACAAATGTCGTCGACAAATCCAGAAAAACGATAACAACAAAATCAAGACAACAGATCCAACCACAGCCTGATGATCGTTCACAAAACATCTTCACATCAAACACCGAGAACAGCTGACGCCACTGAACGACGACATGCAGCACCAAGAACAACCACAGCACAGAGAGAGCTCTCTGATTGGTCCACAGCCAGTGATTGACAGGCGAGCAGACTTACAGCGGGCCTTCTGCCGGCCGTCGGCATCAAACAAACACAGTCGCAGTCCTGCTGAAAACAACAAAACAAGTCATCGTCCAAAACACGAACACGGCGTCTCATTGGCTGATTGTCAAAGTCACATGACTAAAGAAAAAAACACCTTTTCTTTTATGAATCAAGTCACATTTCATTTTCAAAGATTTTAAATAAAAACTTTTCTATTTCAGTCTTTTTACTTTCTGAGTTCTTTCTGTAATCTGACTTGAGGTGACTTTGTTTCCTGAACACAGGGTTTCTGGGAAACCGGGTTCAAAAAATAAACACACAGAGGACTTCAGATGTCAAAGATCACTCTGATGAAGAGTTGTAATCTGCTGCATCCTTAAACCTGCAGTATGCAGCTTCCACCACCAGGGGGCTCGCAATCAAAACAAAAACAAAAGATCATGTAGAGGCTGGCGGGGAATCATGGGAGTTCTCTCCGCTACATCCCTGCAGATATAATTCAGAACAGATTGAGACGTAGCATTAGCCTGTATCCTTTAGCGGCTGCAGGAAGTCGTCTAACCCGAGTTCTGTCTCAGGTTTCATACGAATAAATCAATAAATCCATCTGACACCAAAAAGTCGCCTGCAACGAGCTGTAGACGAGATGCAGACGTCAGATTTGTGCAAAATCTGGCAGCAGTGGCTCAGTCAGTAGGGACTTTGGGTTGGGAACCGGTTCAAGTCTTGATGCAGACCACAATATGGAAGCTGGTCTGGTAGCTGGAGAGGAGCCAGGGCACTTCCTGAGCACTGCAGAGAGTATATCAAATTCAGAATTCCAATAATATTGCTGATCCTTGTCAGTCGAGTCTTCTTTGGTCTCTAACAACGCTGCTCTGTTGGGGCGCTGGTGGCTCAGTGGTTAGAGCGCGCGCCCCATGTATGAAGGCTGTAGTCCTCCAAGCGGGCGGCCCAGGTTCAAATCCGACCTGTTGCTCCTTTCCCGCATGTCATTCCCTACTCTCTGATTTCAGACTCTATCCACTGTCCTCTCTCTCTGGTTTCTGACTCTATCCACTGTCCTCTCTCTCTCTGGTTTCTGACTCTATCCACTGTCCTCTCTCTCTCTCTGGTTTCAGACTCTATCCACTGTCCTCTCTCTCTCTGGTTTCAGACTCTATCCACTGTCCTCTCTCTCTCTGGTTTCAGACTCTATCCACTGTCCTCTCTCTCTCTCTGGTTTCTGACTCTATCCACTGTCCTCTCTCTCTCTCTGGTTTCAGACTCTATCCACTGTCCTCTCTCTCTCTCTCTCTGGTTTCAGACTCTATCCACTGTTCTCTCTCTCTCTGGTTTCTGACTCTATCCACTGTCCTCTCTCTCTCTCTCTCTGGTTTCAGACTCTATCCACTGTCCTCTCTCTCTGGTTTCTGACTCTATCCACTGTTCTCTCTCTCTCTGGTTTCAGACTCTATCCACTGTCCTCTCTCTCTCTGGTTTCTGACTCTATCCACTGTCCTCTCTCTCTCTCTCTGGTTTCAGACTCTATCCACTGTCCTCTCTCTCTCTCTCTGGTTTCTGACTCTATCCACTGTCCTCTCTCTCTCTGGTTTCTGACTCTATCCACTGTCCTCTCTCTCTCTCTGGTTTCAGACTCTATCCACTGTCCTCTCTCTCTCTGGTTTCTGACTCTATCCACTGTCCTCTCTCTCTCTGGTTTCTGACTCTATCCACTGTCCTCTCTCTCTCTGGTTTCAGACTCTATCCACTGTCCTCTCTCTCTCTGGTTTCTGACTCTATCCACTGTCCTCTCTCTCTCTCTCTGGTTTCAGACTCTATCCACTGTCCTCTCTCTCTCTGGTTTCTGACTCTATCCACTGTCCTCTCTCTCTCTGGTTTCTGACTCTATCCACTGTCCTCTCTCTCTCTGGTTTCTGACTCTATCCACTGTCCTCTCTCTCTCTGGTTTCTGACTCTATCCACTGTCCTCTCTCTCTCTCTCTGGTTTCAGACTCTATCCACTGTCCTCTCTCTCTCTGGTTTCTGACTCTATCCACTGTCCTCTCTCTCTCTGGTTTCTGACTCTATCCACTGTCCTCTCTCTCTCTCTCTGGTTTCTGACTCTATCCACTGTCCTCTCTCTCTCTCTGGTTTCTGACTCTATCCACTGTCCTCTCTCTCTCTCTGGTTTCTGACTCTATCCACTGTCCTCTCTCTCTCTGGTTTCTGACTCTATCCACTGTCCTCTCTCTCTCTGGTTTCAGACTCTATCCACTGTCCTCTCTCTCTCTCTGGTTTCAGACTCTATCCACTGTCCTCTCTCTCTCTGGTTTCTGACTCTATCCACTGTCCTCTCTCTCTCTGGTTTCTGACTCTATCCACTGTCCTCTCTCTCTCTGGCTTCTGACTCTATCCACTGTCCTCTCTCTCTCTGGTTTCTGACTCTATCCACTGTCCTCTCTCTCTCTGGTTTCTGACTCTATCCACTGTCCTCTCTCTCTCTGGTTTCAGACTCTATCCACTGTCCTCTCTCTCTCTGGTTTCTGACTCTATCCACTGTCCTCTCTCTCTCTGGTTTCTGACTCTATCCACTGTCTCTCTCTCTCTGGTTTCAGACTCTATCCACTGTCCTCTCTCTCTCTGGTTTCTGACTCTATCCACTGTCCTCTCTCTCTCTGGTTTCTGACTCTATCCACTGTCCTCTCTCTCTCTCTGGTTTCAGACTCTATCCACTGTCCTCTCTCTCTCTGGTTTCTGACTCTATCCACTGTCCTCTCTCTCTCTGGTTTCTGACTCTATCCACTGTCCTCTCTCTCTCTCTGGTTTCAGACTCTATCCACTGTCCTCTCTCTCTCTGGTTTCTGACTCTATCCACTGTCCTCTCTCTCTCTGGTTTCTGACTCTATCCACTGTCCTCTCTCTCTCTCTGGTTTCAGACTCTATCCACTGTCCTCTCTCTCTCTCTGGTTTCTGACTCTATCCACTGTCCTCTCTCTCTCTGGTTTCTGACTCTATCCACTGTCCTCTCTCTCTCTCTCTGATTTCAGACTCTATCCACTGTCCTCTCTCTCTCTGGTTTCTGACTCTATCCACTGTCCTCTCTCTCCCTGGTTTCAGACTCTATCCACTGTCCTCTCTCTCTCTCTGGTTTCAGACTCTATCCACTGTCCTCTACAATAAAGTCACAAAAATAAATCTGAATAAAAAACAACAAACACTGCTCTGCCAAATGCACATCGTCTGTGACGAGGTGTAATAACTAGAGGTGGGAAAAAAAGACATTTAAAAATCAAGATTCTTCTCTTGTAAGATTTAAACTCGATTCATAACTTCCAAAACTCGATCCAAAACTTGTTTTTATTTGTTTTATTGGGGGCTAATCAGTCACTCCCTGCTAAGTGCTAAAGCTAGCTTTGTAACTCAGTAGAATGCCAAATAGAGCAACAAGAAATTCAGCCAGTCTCACAGATGACTGGAGAAGATGCTGAAGTTTGAACTAATTCATAACTAGATCCATGGATCAATGAATCCAGAATCTTTTGAATCGAGACAGATTCCCTGCCCTCATAATAACTGCACTGGTTTTTATGACTGCAGTTACAGACAGAAACCTTTAGAGGGCGCCAAAGCCCAGTTTCCTGTGCAGAGCCTTCAGCAGGCGACGCTCTTTGTCTGCAGGATAGACGGTTCAAACATGGACCAGGTCTGAGTGATGTCACAGGTCTGAGTGATGTCACAGGTCTGAGTGATGTCACAGGTCTGAGTGATGTCACAGGTCTGAGTGATGTCACAGGTCTGAGTGATGTCACACTTCAGGTTTCTGAGGCGGGCTTTATGAAGCTCGTCGATGGCGGTCTCCATATTAGAAACAGAAACGGGCAGAGAGCAGTTTTCACCTTGCTGAAGTCCACCGTGCTGTTCTCTCGGCTGCCTCCGTTGATACGACTCTCGCCGTTCTTGTTGTTGTCGAGGTTTCCCGGAGCTGAGTGAGGGGACGCCAGCAGACCTGCAGCGACAGGAAGTGAAGTTACACTCTAAACAGAAAGACATAACAAGCTGAGGGAAGATAACATGATGCACACATCTGCTGACGTGTCAGGTGTTTACTTCATGTTCCATTTAGAGTCAAAGAGACCAGGAAGAGGGGAGGAGTTAGGGGCGGGGCTACAAGATGCTAACTACAATAGAGACTTAGCAATGTGTCTCCATCGTGTCGTCCATGTGTGGTCACTTCATCCCAAAAACAAAAACACAGACTCTCAGATTTGAAGCTTTAAAACGTTCAAACAGCCGAGTCCACCTCTCACAGACAGTCTGTGGTTGAAATGTTTATTTGTGTTTGAAGCTCAAACACTCCAATCAAACAGTTTGAAAGAAGCCTTTGTTTTAGGGGAAACTCTGGTTTACACACATTCACAAACTTCACCTGCTGTTCAGTGATGGAGGGCACCGAGGCAATACTCACCAAGTGACCTCGCACAACACCGACTTCAATACATGAAGCGGCGACCCTCAGGTTCCCAACCCGAGGTCCACACACACTGAGTTTCTGCCGCTGCTTTGGAAATGATGATGACCCCATTTAGCATCAAGCTAGTGCTAGCATTAGCAGATGACTTGGAAAAATCTGAACTGTGTGACCCTGAAGTATCCAGCTGACACTTTGTCATCGTGTTTCCTCTGCAGGTTAAACTTTAATGAAAGAAGCATCGTTAGCCGTCACGCTCTCTGACTCCTTCCTGTTTGTCTGAACTTCACAGTTTTAAACCTGTGAGCTTCAGCACATGAACACATGTAATCTCTGCTTCACTTCCTGGATCAGTGATCGTCTGAGCATCCTGGATGTTAAAACTCGCTGACTCTGCAGCTGCTGCAGGTCAGTGCTGACCCGACAGGAAGCGCACCAGACGGGGAACGTTCCTCGAGACTCACTGCGGATATTAAACGTTAATCAACAGTTTCATAGCTCCGAACAGGTGCACTCAGGTGAGAACAAACATCCAATCAGAACGCAGCTGAGATCAAATCCTCATCAGACTCTGGTAATCTCTGGTTGAGTTTTTTTTCAGGGATTTTCTGACTCCATTTCTCTCCTGAGCTGTTTTTAGATGTTGGACTCTAAATCGTAAACTCGCCCAAACCGCGAGCACCGTCAGCCACAACGATGACATCGTGCTTTAAATATCATTAACGCCCAGAGAGCGCCGTGGTCTCACCGTTGCGTTCCAGTAGATGAGGGTCCGAGTGTTTCTTGCCGATGTCAGCGAACGAGCGGACCAGCGGGATCCTGTTGCTCAGCTTCTTCTCATTCTGATGGTGATGGCGTCTCAACATGGCCTCCCTCACCTTCTCCCGACCGTCCTCCTCCAGCTGGCCTGACACCAGCATGCTGTCGATCACCATATCTACACGGGGAGAAGAGCGGTTAGCTAACACGCTACAAAGCACGGACGCAACGAGGCACCCCTCGGTGGTCCGCACATCAGAAAATAATCTGGTGTCAGTAGACGATGTTATTTGTTGTAAGGCAAGTTTATTTATGTCGCACATTTCAACAGCAAGGCAATTCAAAGTGCTTCACACAAGATATGAAAAGCATCATGACAGAGGAAAGAAAAGAAACATTAAAATAGAACATTTAAAAATATCACTGAAATTATTAAATCTGAAAATATGTTCAAAAAATAATAATTCAAATGAAATGAATTGAAATAAATAAAGTAAAAATATAAAAAGAGTTCAAAGTTACAGTGCAGAGTTAAAGTTTAAAATCTTATTAAAGCTGTTTAATGAAAGGCAGTAAACAGGTGAGTCTTCAACCTCCATTTAAAAGAGCTGAGAGTTTCAGCAGACCTGCAGTTTTCTGGGAGTTCGATCCAGATATAAGGAGCATAGAAGCTGAACGCTGCTTCTCCATGTTTGGTTCTGACTCTGGGGACAGAGAGCAGACCTGTCCCAGACCACCTGAGCGGTCTGGATGGTTCCTAATCAGTCAGGAGGTCACTAATGTATTTTGGCCCTAAACCATTAAGCGCTTTATAACCCAGCACCATGATTTTAAAGTCTAATCTCTGACAGACTGGGAGCCAGTGTAAAGACCTCAGAACTGGACTGATGTGATCCATTTTCTTGGTTTTGGTGAGGACTCTAGCAGCAGCGTTCTGGATCAGCTGCAGTTGTCTGACTGATGTTTTAGGCAGACCTGTAAAGACACTGTTGCAGTAATCAAGACGACTGAAGATAAAAGCATGGACACATTTTTCCAGGTCCTGCTGGGACATAAGTCCTCTAATTCTTGATGTGTTCTTCAGGTGATAGTAGGCTGACTTTGTAATTGTCTTAATGTGGCTTTTGAAATTGAGGTCTGAGTCCATCACTACTCCCAGATTTCTTGCCTGGTTTGTGGTTTTAAGTCTTACTGACTGAAGCTGATTGCTGACTCGTAGTCGCTCCAACTTTGCTCCAAAAACAACAACCTCAGTTTTGTCTTTGTTTAGCTGGAGAGAATGTTTGCACATCCACTCATTGATTTGAATTTACTCAGTGCTTTTACTTTTGTGCTTAATTTTACTTCTAGTTCACCTTTTTGTCTAAATTCCCCCAAAAAATCACCAATATATTGATTCATTACAAACACCGTGAATACATTAAAAACCGCATTGACCTGCGATCTCCTCGATCGTGTTGGCTCTCATGTCGAGCAGCACGGTGCCGTTCAGGATGCACGACCGCAGCTCGAAGAGACTGTGGAGCGACAGCGTGGCCACGTACGGTTTACTCCATCGCTCACCTCCGTCCTCCACGTCCTCCTCAAACTTCAGCCACCTGAAACACAACGACCACGGGTCACACCTCACAGACTCAGCAGGATTATCACTAAAACAGGAGTTCTCTGTTTTGTTGCAGGTCGTTTTTCAAAATAAAAGCATCATTTCTAATGTAGTAAAACAGCGTGCAATAAAGTATTAAGGGAAAAAAAAAGCATAATTTCTTCTTCCTGATTCCACCGAGCTGCTCGGATCAGTTTGAGTCCTGAAATGTTTGAGGCATGAAAAGACGTGTGTTCTGATCCCCGTCAGTCCCACAGGAGTTATGAAGGACTCCTGAATAAAAACAGGTTAATCCGACTCACCGAGCGAGGGATGAGCTATGTAAACAAAGTGAAGTTATTACAAACAGAAGACAAAGATGTGACTGAGGCCTTTAATCCTCAACAATCTGAATGTAAACAAAGAGTGTGTCCTCACCTGGCGGTCTCCTTCCACTCCGTGAAGTCTCCATCCCTGAAGGCGAGCTCGTCCAGCTCGGTGAAGAGGTCGTGGGGGACGTGCTCCTCGTCTCCGTCCTCCGTCCCGAGGATGAACTGGACTCTCTGAGACGGCGTGTCTGCAGGGACAGAATCACATCAATCTTTTATTTTGACTTGTTTTTTATTTCAGTTTCAGCTCGTTGAACCTCCAGATAAAAATATGAGTTAAGATTAACCGAGTTCAAAAGAGGCGCCGATGAAATTGTAAATATGGATCAGCTGCTTCTATCAGTAACTCGGGTTGATGTCATCACACACACACTGAGGAGAGCGATACAAACCGTTTGAGGGCGACTCTCGTCCGTCCTCCCGGTCCTCCCGGTCCCGTCGTTTGCGGTGATGTCGGTGTCCTCGGTGGCGGTGCCGTCTTCGACTCTGTCGGCCCAGAGGAACGTGCACGCCGACGTACACGGCCCTGTGACCTGGAGGGAAGTGAACACACATTACCAGGTAAACTTTATGAAATCCATTTATTAAAAGAAGTCAAAACAAAACAGAAGCTTACACAAAGACGACTGAAGTAACATGAGACATTTTATTTTTTAACATGGGATAATTAAGGATGAAAAAAAGGCCTTTAGGCCGGGTTCATTCAAGTCATCTTGGATGAATCTGGTGCTAACAGAGACTCACTCTCCAGTTCCTCCTTCTCAAAGTTGGTGTTGAGGGTGGAGCTGGTCTTCCCCTGGTCGAGCACGGCCTCCTCATCGTTTCCCTGCAGAACAAACAGAAAGGTCTTCTTATTGGACAGGAAGCAGCTTTCAGATTTATTAAATTAACATATTTGTATTTATCACAGAAGCTGACCTCTTCTGTTTCCTTTTAAATATTTTAAATCATTTTTATGTTTTCATGGATGTCAGGCTTCACTTTCCCTCTCTGACTCTTCCTGCACACATCTCGTTCACTCTTTCATCGACCACATTAATGTACGGTATCTTCCTCCTGTTAAAACTTTATCTACATCGAGCTCTGCAGCTCTCTGGCCCCGCCCACATCCACAACATGATGTCACGGCTGATGTAAACAGGAAGTGCTCTGACAGCTGGAGGAGACAGACAGACAGAAAAACAAACAAGATGGAGGAAATATGATCTCAGTGTCTATCATGTACAGACACACACAAAGTGAGATATGTGTGAAACAGGAAGTGCTACTACATGCTGGTTGGTTGTTACTCTGCTGTGACTGTGAGCTCAAAGACACACACACACGCACACGGTCATGCAGGTCAGACAGGAAGTGGAGATATGAGGCCTGTGCTGCTTCCGCTTCACTTCCTTTTTTACAGTGTTCAGCGATCGTCATGAGAATGTTCTGAAACCGATTCCCACAATCCACCTCACTTCTTCTCAGACCCGTCAACTACTGACTCTGAGCGTTCAGAAGGAACAGAACAAGTCGATACTGGATAATTAAATGAAGAACGTGACACTTTCTGATCCAGTAGATGAGCTCCAGCATGTTAGGCCACGCCTCCTCCATACTGAAGCCTCCAGAGACACACCTCCAACCCCCCCCCCACTCACTTTCACATGAAGGAGTTATCAATTAAAACGCATCATAATTAAACACCAAGAGGCGGACAAACTGTCCTCTGCTCGAGCTGCGTCAGCGCTCTTTAGTTAGCTCGTAGCTTCACATTGTTGTGTTAGCATGCTAATGTTAGCGCTCTTTAGTCAGCTCGTAGCTTCACATTGTTGTGTTGGCATGCTAATGTTAGCGCTCTTTAGTCAGCTCGTAGCTTCACATTGTTGTGTTGGCATGCTAATGTTAGCGCTCTTTAGTTAGCTCGTAGCTTCACATTGTTGTGTTGGCATGCTAATGTTAGCGCTCTTTAGTCAGCTCGTAGCTTCACATTGTTGTGTTGGCATGCTAATGTTAGCGCTCTTTAGTCAGCTCGTAGCTTCACATTGTTGTGTTGGCATGCTAATGTTAGCGCTCTTTAGTCAGCTCGTAGCTTCACATTGTTGTGTTGGCATGCTAATGTTAGCGCTCTTTAGTCAGCTCGTAGCTTCACATTGTTGTGTTGGCATGCTAATGTTAGCGCTCTTTAGTCAGCTCGTCGCTTCACATTGTTGTGTTGGCATGCTAATGTTAGCGCTCTTTAGTCAGCTCGTAGCTTCACGTTGTTGTGTTAGCATGCTAATGTTAGCGCTCTTTAGTCAGCTCGTCGCTTCACATTGTTGTGTTGGCATGCTAATGTTAGCGCTCTTTAGTCAGCTCGTAGCTTCACATTGTTGTGTTGGCATGCTAATGTTAGCGCTCTTTAGTCAGCTCGTAGCTTCACATTGTTGTGTTAGCATGCTAATGTTAGCGCTCTTTAGTCAGCTCGTCGCTTCACATTGTTGTGTTGGCATGCTAATGTTAGCGCTCTTTAGTCAGCTCGTAGCTTCACATTGTTGTGTTAGCATGCTAATGTTAGCACTCTTCAGTTAGCTCGTAGCTTCACATTGTTGTGTTAGCATGCTAATGTTAGCGCTCTTTAGTTAGCTCGTAGCTTCACATTTCATGTAAACTGACACAGAATGAGCGTGATCTAAAAACTCTTACTAACATCCAAATAATCAGTGAGTATGTTCTTCTTCTTCTCTCTAGTTCTTGACTAAAACAGCTTTTATACACAAGGGGAGGAGCCGGCCGTCCCGTCCATGTAAACACGGTTCTGACAACAACACAGCCAGCGGGACTCGAGCTTCTCCCTCATTGTAGACAGTCAAGACTCAGAGACACATTTACACAGGACAGACTTTAGGATTTATTGATGTGGAATACTTCTCTGGTCAAAACAAGTAAGAAGGAGAACATACTGACTGCTGCATGTTTCCTTAATGTGTGATGAGAGAAGTTTCCAGAGGACTAAACTGTGTAACCACAGTTATGAGTTAAAGATAAACAACAGATGCCTCTCTGTGATAAAAACTTACACGGTGTGTATTTGAATAAAAAAGTCTCTCTCTCTCTCTCGTGTGGGTTCACTTACTCTCCACCTATCATCGAGCTGTTTCCTGTTTAACTCATTTCCTTAAATGTTTCATGATGAGGTCCAACACGTCCCTCATGTTGAGTTTAAAGACCCTCTGTGTGCACTCATTACCACCAAACACAACCTGTGACTTGTTCTGATTACACACTCTGAGAAGTCACACAGATCTGACCTGAAGTCCAACACGCCCAAATATTGTGCCATTTCTTCTTTTGAATTTCCAAACGTTGCAGGTTAACGCCTGCACACAGTCGAAATCTCGTATTAAAAATCTCTCTCTCTCTCTCAAAAACAAGTCTTTAACCTGTTTCTGTAGCAATAAGTTTCCCATGTATTTGTGCAAATCGACCGTCTCTTTGGCTGAAAGGGATTGTGTTTAAGCTTTGGTAAGTTTCTACCCTCAGGCATCAGTTTAATTTAAAACCCTCTGAAGTCACTCAGGACAAACATGTCCACTTCCAAAAAACTGCTATAAAAAAAGAACAGATTGATATTTTTTTCTACTTTTATCTGTATAAATCTCTTAAATAACTTCAGCCCTGCTCAAAAAGAATCATGTAATCAAACTGGCATTTAAAGGGTTAAATTCCTAAAACTGATTGAATGTTTGATAGTTTTGAGCAGCGCTGAAGTTGTTTAAGAGATTTATGCAGAGAAATATCAATCTGTTCTATTTTTATATCAGTATTTTGTAAGTGGACATTTTTGTCCTTAGTGACTTCAGAGGGTTGTAAACATGTTTCAGTGATCTATTGATCTTTTTAAAAACATTAAAATGTTCATTCCAAAATGTGTCAAGAGACAAACTTTCTTATAAAACATGTGTTCCATATGTACTAACAGACAAAATGATGGACAGATGAAGAGGAGACATTTGACCAAATGGACTAAAATGTCCATAATGATGGAAGAGGGTTAAAAACAAGTGGTGGCAAAAAGTATTGAAGATGGGGGGCCACAGTAGTGTGGTGGTGGGTGCGTGCACCCCATGTACCGAGACTGGGGCGGCAGTAGCTCAATCTGTAGGTACAAGTCTCGCTGTGGACCGTAGTATGGAAGTTTGTTTGGTAGCTGGAGAGGTGCCAGGGGACTTTCTGAGAACTGCTGAGGAGGTGCTCCTGAGCAAGGCATCAAATCCCCAACCTTAACAGCTTTGTGTCTGAGAAGCATGTCTCTAATAACACTTTAAAAGAAGAATTTCCCTCAGGGATTAATAAAGTATGAAAAAATAAAAACCACTGGTGGCAGTGGTTTGTGCACGTGCCCCACGTATGGAGGCTATGGTCTTCCAAGCGGGCGGCCCAGGTTCAAATCCAGCCAATGGCTACTTTCCTGCATGTCATTCCCTACTCTCTCTGTCCTATCTCTATATTAAAGGCACAAAAAGCCAAAAAATAAATCTTAAAAAAAAAAAAAAAAGAGTGCTCCAAGCGGGCGGCCCGGGTCTGGGTTCAGCCTGTGTCTCCTTTCCTGCTTGTCGTTCCTCATCCTCTCTCTCTCTCTGTCCACTGTCTCCTCTCTCGCTAATAATAAAGAGCCCCAAAAATAAACCTTGAAAAAAACTAAGTATGGAAGATGTTGTTGACCTCGCCTAGTTGCCAACGTCTTTGTGCAAGTCACACAACCTTGTCTCTCTCTCTTTGGTCAAAATGATGACTGAAGATCTGTAGGTTATTTTTGATTAAGTTTTGGTACTTTTTGTTTCCATTAATCATTAAAATAACAGAGGCTGGGGCGCCTGATAGCCTAGTGGTTATACGTCTCGCTCCATGTATGGAGGCAATAATCCTCGTCGCAGCGGGCGTGGGTTTGAATCTAGCCATGGTCATCCCCCCCACGCTCGTGCGGGGGTTAGCCCTCCAAGTTTCCTGCTTGTCATTCTCTCTCTCTATCCCACGTTTCTGACTCTGTCCACTGTCCTCTGTCTCAGGCATAAAAATCCAAAAATAAACCATCAGTCAATAAAATAACAAAGACTGGGGCTCTGGGTAGCCTACTGGTTATTCCCCGGAGGAAACAGTCCTCCTTTGCGGTTGCCAGTGCAGCGGCTGGGTTCGAATCCAGCCTCGGCCCTTTACTGTGTATCTCTCTCCTCCCTATGTTTCCTCTCTCTCTTCACCTGTGCTTTCCAACAAACAAAGATTGTGGTTCTTTTTTTTGTTTTTTTAAAAGGTGGTGGGGCGCTGGTGCATCAGTGGTTTGGTACGACCCATGTATGGAAGCTGTAGTCTTCCAAGTGGGCAGCCCAGGTTCAAATCCAACCTGTGGCTCCCTTCCTGCAGGTCGTTCCCCTCTCTCTCTCTCTCTATCCACTGTCCTATCTCTCTAATAAAAAGGCCCAAAAATAAACCTTTAAAAAAAAAAAAACGAAAAGTTGAAAAAGTTGAAAAAGTATTGTCAAAGTATTGGTGCAATCTCTCCCTCTTTTGCCATGGGGTTAAAAAAGTGACAATCTGTTTTTTAAGTTTTAGTACATGATATAATAATAATAATAATAATAATATAAAAAATGCAGAGTGCAGGGTTTTCAAATATGTGGTATCTACAAGTACCCAAAGTTTACCAGAGTGTAAACATCACACAGTCAGTCTTAAAGAGTGAGACACGAACAGCAGATACTCACCAGGGACACGGCTCTGGAAACTCTCAGACTGACAATATCTCCCCAAAAGTCTCCCATTGCTGCTCTTTCCAAAACACACTCGATCGAGTCAAACAAACTCTCCTCTGGAACCAGAAACACTCTGCAGGAGGAACTGAGAAAACAAAGAAACCCCTCAGGCAGCGACCTCCTCGCAGTGTGAAAATCCAGCCGCTGTGACAGGAAGTGAGTACGGGCAGCAGCGGCGCGTGGGTCTGCGAGTCGTCCAGGTTGAGATGTCAATACAGCTGTAGAGACTCGGCAAAGACTTGTGTATTTATAGCCGAGAACGAGGGAGAGAGAGAGAGAGAGAGAGAGAGAGAGAGACAGAGAGAGAGAGAGAGAGAGAGAGAGAGGGAGAGAGAGAGCTGCTTCAGTGAGCGAGCAGTCAGCCTGAAGTCTGCAAACACAGCAGGAAAACACACACACACACACACACACACACACACACACACACACACACACACACGGGGCGGGGCTTCAAAGAACAAGTCACACAGAGCAGGAAAAAAGAAGTGAGACAACCAAGAGGTACTTTCACAACAACTACTGTACTCAGTTCATCTGTCAATATGTCGAGTCCCAAGTCCATCCAAACAAGTCCCAAGTCCAAACCAATGAGTCTGAAATCAAATAGAAAGTCAATAAAGGACAACACCTTCAAAAGGGACAGTGAAGCCTAAAGCATATACCAACATGCTAACAACAAGTCAGAAGTCAAGTCCATCCAAACAAGTCCCAACTCAATACCAATGAGTCCTAAAATCATATTGAAAGTCAATTAAGGACAATACCGTAAAAAGGGACAGTCAAACCTAGAGACAAAAACCAAGTCACAAGTCAAGTCCCAAGTCATGACAAACAAGTCTAAGTCTTTAGTCCCAAGTCAAAACCAACAGGTCCGCATTCAAGTCCAAAGTCAAGACGAGCATGCCCAAAGTCAGGCTCTGAATAAACAAAAAGAAGTCAAGGCCATCATTAAGTCAAGACCAGTAAATCTCAAGTCAAATCTCAAGACAAGTCCAAGTCTAGTCCCGAGTCAAGACCTGTAAGTCTCAAGTGAAAAGCAAGACCTAAGATTAATAAGTCAAAGGTCTAGTCCCAAGTCCAGACCACCAGATGCAAAGAAATCTCTCTTTTAAAGTTTCTGACTGAAGTCCTCTGAGCTCCCACGTTTCTCTGCACATGATATAATTTGTTTTGGTGTTTTTGTATCTGTGAACAATAAAGTGTTTTACTGCAGCAGAACTCTGGAAACCCTCGCCTCCCCCGTGAGCCTCACAGGTAACGTCAGCTCATTCTCAGGAATTCTAATAAGAATCAACAACAAGCTTCAACACGAGCATAGAGTGTAAATACAAAAGAAGGAGAGACGAGGATCTACATTTCCTCTTCTGTTTCAGCGACCACACGACCACAGACACCCTGACATCAAACAACCACCGACCTCGACTCAAAACAGGAACAAAAAAGACTTTTAAAGGTCACCTCCCCAATATTCTGGATTTCCCAACTTCCTGTCTCATCAGAAGCTGAGAGGACGATCAAGCCTCCTGATATCTTCATGAACACAGGCTGAACGTATGAGAAGGCGTTGTGAAGCGTCTCTGCTGCGAGTTATCGACGGAGGGTTTTTTTTTTCCGGGCAGAAAAGCGCTGACTGTGCGCTCAGGACCACTCGAGTAACGGCCGCTGTATGAGCGACACTGCTCCGTTACTTTTTACTGCATGCTTTATATTTGAGATCGTTTATTTCCTGATCAGACGCAGAGCAAGGAGGATGTGGGTACGAGACACGACCTGTAGGAGACTAAACTACGAGGAACATAATAATGTAACATGTGGAAAAGAGCGGCGGTGATGCAAACATCGCCTTTCTGAAAAGTTAAAAGATTTTCAACTTGAGCGCTCAGAGCGGCCGCAGGAAAAAGGCGGAGCGCTCAGAAGAAAGGTGCAGGTCGCTGTGCTTTTTCTCCAGGCGCTCTCTACTCATTTAAAACAACTGGAAAAAGACGCTGGCGCTCAGATCCAAACGCCAGGTGGACACGATGCCCGAGTGCGAGTGTCAGCAATATTTTCTGCATCTTCATTGTTCCGACTGCTCTCACAGCCTTCTGCAAAGATACTTCACATATGTTTGGTAAAACATGTCAACATGACCACGCCCCCTTCCCGAGAGGGGGCGTGGTCAGACACAGCTTATTTACATATTTAAAGGTACAGACACAGAAACAGCCTGTTCTGAGCAGGGCTGAAATAGAGGGGTTTATAGACATGATCAAATACAGGATCAGAGTGGATTTAGAACAAGAAACTTCACACACATGTTTTGAGGAGCTCTGACACTTATTTACACTGAAGAGGAGGAGGAGGATATGAGACCTTTAACAGATACACTTTTCTGTGCGCACGTTAAAGTCAGGGTTGGTCATTTCCTCCAGAAACACTTCTTAATAACTCATGTTCTCTGAAAAAGGAACAAAGAAATCCATCATCTGTATCAGTTTGTAAGTCTGTAAAAACTTCAACCAATGTCTGCCACGAGGTACCAATCTGATGAACCAATCAGACGCCTCCCTGTCACCCCTGGCGTGCACGAGCCCACACTCAAAGCAATGAGCTGAGGTCCACTTCTGGAGAGACGGCGCTCTGCGCATGTGAGTGAGGGGGCGTGGCTTTAGAGGGAGCAAAGAAGGGGGGGGGGGGGCAGACAGAGCACAGAGGGAATGCTACTTTCAAAATCATGCTAGTTTTTGAAAGCTACCAACTCTGCCTTTAAAGTACTGAGGAGGAAGAGGAGTCGTGCAGGGTTCAGTGCGAAGAGACGATCAGATGGTTATTGTGATCTCATGTGGACCTCTTTAGTCCGGTCTGATGGTCAACATGTTTAAAAGAAATCTAAAAAAAATACAAACCTCAAAGTGGAAAACAGATCTGAAACAAAGATCAGCGCAGACTTCCAGAGGAAGCATCACAGCTTACAACCGACAACAGAGATTGTTGTCAAGGCAACAATAATGATTCTTTATTATGATGGACGCAGAACAACGAGGAGATATTTAAGGTCGTATGAGGAGCTGCAGGTCTCCTCCTCTGAGTCCGGGTCCGCCTGCTGCTGCCGTCAGAGCTTCACTATCACAATGTGACCAAATGAACACACTTCATGTGAGATCAAAGCAGCCGACGCACAAATCAGTTTTATTAACCCCCGGAGCTGTTGGAGCTGAGGACAATCACGCCATTCATCAGGAGGGAAACAGGAAGCAGTGCATGCTGGGAGAGGCTTTGTGTTTAGCGTTTGGCTCAGAGGCACTGCTGCAGAGACGTGAGGGTTTGAACCATAGACTGTAAAAATAATGGACGGGACAAGGAGTGAAAGTAAACAGGAATGCAGAAATGTTCTGCATTGGCTTCCACACACGACCAATTCAACAGTCACAAGTTGATCATATTGACAAAACCTGACAAACATTGAGGTGACTGTGACTGTGTCTGTATTTATCACCTTTGAAAGGAAGGTGTTAATGCAGGAGACCAGTGTTACACACAACATGCTGCTGTTATTGAAGTTAGGAGGAGACAGAGGCTCAATAAAAGAATACATAAAGATCGTGTTTTCCCCCACACATGTTAATATGTTTTAAATGTCATGCATTTATTTTTGATTTCGCTTCAATAATCGTTAACGAAGAGAAACAGCAGGATTAAACTACAGGCTGTTGTTGTGTTAGCCAAAGAAAACTGAACATTCACAGCCTCTGTATTCAAAACAATTTCAACATCAACATTTATGTCTTCCTATTTCCCTCTTTTGGTCAACATTATATTTTAAACTGGGATTTCTCCTCCCTCTAAAGCTGCTGATACTCTGTAGGACGCTCTGATTGGGGCACCTCACCAATAAAATACTATTTTATACTTTATAAGCAGTTTGCCACCACACTGCACTTTTACTCTCCAAAGGCATATGAGTATGTGTGTGACAACTTTAACAAAGCTTTAGCACACAGTCACACCATCCACACAGCTGATCCAGGATTTACTGTAGCATCTTCTACAGCACTGAAAGGTCATGTACAGGCAAACAGAGAGAAGGGAACAGAAACAATCTGTGCTCTCACATAACAAAGCAGTCTCAATCTTTTTGAGGAATTACAGCTAATTTTGTTTTACTTGCATACAGTACATCCTCTGATAAATACAGTGAAAGTACTTTGATTGTATTTCTGTGGTGTTCCTGTAGGAGACCATGATGCAGCCAGACTGAAGCAGCAGCTTGTGAAGGTGGACGCCATCATCTTGTCTTTGCAGTGCTGATTCTGAAGAGAACGCCTTCACATAGGACTCAAAGGTCACACACACACACACACACACACACACACAGACACAGACACAGCCACAGACACACACACACACACACACACACACACACACAGTCTGTAAACATGGAAAAACACACCGACAGCCAAGAAAAGAAAGACAAATCTCGTAAAAAGCTGTTAGTCATGTTTCTTTTCTTAACAGCTGATTCAGAGTCATTGTGTTAAAGAGTTAATGAAAGGCATTCTGGGTAATGTAGGAAATCACAATCTTACATTTCCATCTGTGTTTCAAGCTAAATATGTGCCTCTGTCTGTGTTTTATTCAGCTGCTGCGCCCCGACACTAAACAGCGTTTACACGGGCTGCAGTGGTGGAGGATCATGGGATACGTCAGGCCGGCAGGCAGCCTCCACATGACACACACAAAGACACACACACGGCTGTGTCCGGACCTTCAAGGCATCGCACACATATCCACTTTGAGCAGTAATTCAACAGTCTGCTCTCAGAGAAACTCTTGAGCCAATCAGAGCTGTTGTGGGCGGGGCTTAAGGTAAAAGGACTAAGATTCTTCAAACCGTACAGAGGTGGGATTTAAAGAGATCATCATAAATGTCTCATATCCATGTGAAACATAATCTGAACAACACGGCGCTTTAACACTGAACTAACCACAGACAACAACGCAGCAGCCAGTATGTCCTCCTCCTAACTTTACACTCTGCACCTGAATGCTCTGGAGGCGTTTTGGACGCCCCTCAGTTTGTCAGATATGAGAGCAGTTATCAGGTCAACAGGTGTTGCAGCGATGGAAGCGGTCAAGAGAAGTGGTTCAGATAGAAGTGATTGTACCCGACCTAAAAAGCCTCTGCATGTTTCTAATAAGCTCCACGAGCAGAAACGTGCTCAAACTAGGATCAATATTGGAGATGCTTTTGAAAAATGGAGAGAGGTTAGAACACAGAAAGGTTTACAGACCCATGCAGAGCTGGATAAACACTGAAG